TATATGGAATTCATAACTAACTTGCATGTTTGGAAAAGCTGTACCTACAAGAGACGAGCTAGGACGTGGACTTCATAATATTGAGCAGAAGAGTGAGCTTATGCTTCTCCAGCTACATAATGTTCTTGTAGATACTGCACCCATTTGTACCAGAAGGGCAGCGATTCTGAGGCAGGAGAAAGCTCATAACACGTACTTGGCAATTATTGTGCCCTATCTAAAGACTAAGTACAACCTCGCAGAAAATGCTGCCGGTGAAAACGTATTAGCAGCTCAGAAGGCTTTCCTGTATAGCAAAATAGAAAAGAAAACCCACCAGGAAAAGCTATACAAGATGCGGACGAATAAAATTTCGTCCACTGTTGATTCATCAAAATGGCTACGATACGAAAGAATTACCGCGCAAGATGAGGCACGATACTGTTATCACCAAGACAGAAATACGTTTGGAGGTGAGAAATTATGTGTCAACATTGTGAGGAACGTGTGAAGACAATGGGACCATCTAGCAACGCAGTGCGAAAAATGTTACACGACGATTGCAGTTCTCACTCGACAGTGAAGTCCTACGATGCATCCACTTGGGACTGTGCAAGAAGTATGATCTGAAAGCATTCCCGCGCTTGCGAAGCCATTGTGTTCAGGAGGTCGTTGCGAATGAAAATGTTGAGATCAGAGTCGATACGCGAGCAAGAACTGCTATCAGAATAAAAGCGGATCGACCGATATCCGATAAGAAGCGACGTGAAGTAATCCTGATTGAAGTTGGCATTACTAGTCAGGGCAGGTTAACAGCAGTCAAGATCCGGAAAAAGCGAAAATATGACCTGCTTACTAATAAGCTTGGGTCAGAGATGAAATGCGGGACCAAAATAATTCTATATGTGATGACTTGGGATGGGATTGTAACGAACTCCCACAAACGCTATGCGAAGGAGATTAGTATATCTGACCACGTCGAGGCATACGATAGTTCTCAAGAAGACGCTCGAAAGCATCTCCTTCGACAGTCGATGTAGATTCCACGAGGACGGAACGTGAACGATGAGTACAATAAATCTGAGCGCGAGACAAGTACTGCCAGAGTGTCGGAATGCGATCCAGCGCCAGAACCAATAAAGCGAGAATTAAAATTAACCTCAACATTTTATTTATTTATTGTAATGATTATTATCATTATTATTGTTATTGCTATTGTTATCATGATTACTATTCCTATTATTACTGTAAACATTTGCTCTAATTGTTAGGCTAAAATATATTACTGATCTGAAAAAAATCATTAACTTTAATTATTGTGATTGAGCAGCAGCTTTTGTGAAGATAACATTAAATATACATAGGTGTTAAGCTAAATGGCGGATAGTGGAAACATTTAAAACCAAGAAATCACTTTTTGAGTTTACTCGGTACAGAATTATATGTTAAACCCTAGGAAGGTTGCTTAATTGATTGTTACAGCAATAGAGCTCATTTATTTTCAGCTTTATTGCCGTAACGATCAGCCTCACATTACCCAAACTGAGGGTGTCTCATTATGCTCGTCATCCAGTACTTCATGTGGCTACTTTGACTTTGAATCATTATCATCCCCAATGAATCACACTCAGTCGTTAGAAATCTACCATTGTGTTGATTCCAGTATTCTTGCCTCTGATAACGGTCGTGACGAAGGGCAGAAGCAGGTGTATTTCATATTGATGAGTTTTTTAAAGTCAGCTGTAAAATAATCAGAATATTACTAATTAAATTCCGCTGAGAAGGCCATAATGTTATCCATTTCATAATTGTTTTCAAGTTCCTTTATTTATCGCTGTATTCTTGACTTTAATAGTTCAGGGACAAAATAATTAGATTGTTAGTTATCGAGTTCTTGGTAGGAGTCAAATCTATCTATTAATCCCATGCTAGACAAGAATTCCATAATAGTCATTAGGAAAGTTATTGTAATGCTTTATTGTTTTTTCATATCAATGTGAGATATTTTAATGTTCTATGCCCCCCAATGTAACAGAGATCACCTTCAGCAGTGATCTTCTAAGGAAACAGCTGACAATGAGAACTTGTCATGACTGTTTCAAAAAGTAATTTATTTCCATTCTGAGTTTTATCCCTAAAACAAATTTTGAAAAGGAGAGACGGAAATCTCCTCTTGCAGATGTTGTTTGCAAAATATTGCAATGACCAAGCTCGTTGTCGGGAAGTCACGCTTTCTTCATTCAACTCCAAATTCGTCCAGTATTTATTACAAAGTCGGTGGAAGAATGTGGCCAAATTACTGTCATTAAAAATAAAATTTTGCTGTGCTATAAACAATTATCTTCTGCAAAAAATCATAAATTCTGGCCAATACATCCTTCGTAAGTACATTCCTGTAAATATCATAAATGTAGAACTTTAAATTCTTACGAATGTTGTACTCATTTTTTGTGGGAATTTAAAGTTTTATCTTTAATTTCAATTTTTTCCTTTCAGCTTTTGTTCTATTTATTCATATATACATATGAAACTTCTGATGTATCGTTTACAGCTTTAATTTTGTCAGTTTCAGGCTTGATTTAATATATAATAGGTAACTGCTTCTGCAGAAAAATTAACACTAATGCATTCAGTTACAGCGGCATTACCATCTGATGAACCTGTATTCTGTCACAACATTCAATGCCACGAAGCTCCAATTGCATGTCTTACATATTCACGTAATGAGGAAATGCAAACAAATCATACTAGAGAAAACGAAGAGGTTGTATCAATCCGACCTGTCAATATCAATTATGAGGATCATGTAATATTTTGTTTATTTCTTTTCTTTCAATTTTTTCCCATAAGTTAATAGTTTCACAATGCACTGTTGTTAAAGATGAATTATATATCAGTATTGGAAGGATTTTATGTTTTGATCTACTTAACAAGAATCTAATTTCAATTTATAATTATAACTTGAGGAAATAGACTGATCTAAGTCATTAAGAAATCATCTCTTATCTTTATTATTCTAATCTTTTTATTTCTATGAGCCAAAATTTGATACCAGTTGACAGTATGTATTGATAATCAGTTTCAATTTTACTATATTTCATTATCAGCCGTAATATTTATAAAGTAGCTTGAGTTTGCTTTGATTTATTTTGAAATAAAGTCTTGATCTTATTTATTTTTTAGATGAGCAGAAATAAAAAGCATAGACAAGACAGCAGCGTTGAACATCACTGTGTTTACCGACATTTTAATGATGAATTTTATCGCTATTGCTTGATGATCCGGGATCATCAAGGACCTAACGATCGGTGCTTTTACGGTGTTGGATATCAGATCTGCTGTTGTTTCCTTCAAGGAAGTAAGTAAACTAACTTATTTGTTTTTTTACTAAGCTGTATTTATCAATGTTGCTGTAAAATGAACAACTATATATTTCATTCTTATTTGTGTAGTAATCAGGTACTATCACTATGGAATAAAATTCAGTCATTTGTGGTTGCTGTTCTAAAATAATTCATGATTATTATTGTATACCGAATTATTAGGATTGTTTCTGATGTAAGAGTAGATTTTTTATCTGCAGGAAATAATTTAAAAAAGCTGAATTTTTCTTCAGAAAAAAAAACCTTCAATTACAATTTTTTGCTATTGGATAAAATGTTTTTTTGTAGCATATCATACATGTGATCCATTATCAACAGGAATATTAAGAACATTGTTTTCGGAAGCTCCTGAACCTATTCCTGACAAAGCACGGAAACTTTCTTCACAAATCTTCAAAATAAAGATTGATACTAAAATTCGAACTAGGTAGTTTTCGTCTTTTATTGAATATTTGAACATATTCTTTGCTGGCTTCATTTGCGATGTTTTCCAGTTTTTAGGTGTAAAACTAATTAAATATTCTCATTAATCGTTGAGAAATAAAGTTTTAGCTTTTCTTCTCAGTTAATCTGCTATGAAAAAATCAAGTTTATTAATGGATGAAAATTTTTGTTTTTGAAGTATTACTTTGACAATAATATTGATAGTTTCTAGACGAATAATGAATTTATTTGTCAAAAACATTGATCAATTTCTTTGGAATTTGGCATAATTATTTCAGTTGGAAGTTATCAATGCTTTATTATATGATGAGGATATCATGAAATGGAGATCAAACAATAAATTATTAAGAAATATTTTGTCAAGATAGAATTTAAATTAATTAATATAATTTGTCAATCAAATTATTTGTTTTATAAAGATTGTCATTAAATTCAAAATTAATCACTTGATCACTATCAACTAGCTACAAAAACTTGATCATTATTATCTATCAAAAGTATCATTAATTTTCAGATGCCATACCGTTAATAAAATGGAAGAGAAAAACTGGAAAAGTCATTTTCATCGCAGGAAAATAATTTGCAATACCGATAATATCAGTGCATCTTGCCAGAACTCATATTTCAACTTTCTTGTGCTTATAATATGTTTGTTAGCTTTTAGTACTTTTAGTAATTAACTTCTGCCGTGTTATTTTAGCTCTGCATAATTTTGCAAAAGTTTGACTTGTTAAAATGACTTCTATAGCTTTAGTTTTTGATAGTTTAACATTCCTAAACTTGTAAATATGAAAAGTTTTGGAATTGATTGGTAATTTTATTGATTCAAGTTAAGCTTGAAAAAGACTCACGTTTAGCTTCTTTTTTATTCTTTACATGTGCGAATTGCTCTTGATGTGGTAAATTTCAATAAAACTGTTTCTCCAATTTTCTTACATAAATCATGTAAGAAAAATAATTGCTATCATTAATAATATGTTAACAAAACTTCTTATTTTATAGTCTCAAAAGTTTGAATGGTAATAATTCAAGAAAAAAGTTGTGCTTAAGATTCTATTTCAGCTCTTTCCTGAAGTTTTTGGAATTAAATTTTCCAAATATAATAATAAAACAAAAGTCATTCTATTTGTTTGTCGAGAATAGAATAATGTTGAAATCACTGTAATTTTATCACTCAGTTTAATATTATACAAAGTACTGTACATCAAACTTGTAAAAATCGTAATTACTGTTTTCTAATTGATATTGGTTCCTTTGAGAAACCGTTTATATTGTAACTGCACCAAGCAATTAAGGAGTATATATTTGCGTAACTTACCAAGTTTAACTGCCATATATGGTGATGCTGCTAAGGATGTTTGAGAAAGGGAATATGTGCAATTTTTTAGCATTAATACGTATGAGAGAAACTTTAAGTGAATCTAAGTTGCAGTTATTATTGATAATGATGGCACTAGTGATGATAGTTGACATTTATTTTGGGAGATGTAATTGCGGTATAGATCAAAAATGGTTTTATGCATACCAGTGATGGCATCACATGATTCGGTGTTGTTTGCACTAAGCATTTGCATTTTATCTTGACTGCAATATTTTTGATGTGGAAGTGCCATTGACAGAGATTAAGTTGTTGCATAAATGTTATTTGCAAGCATTTTAATGTGATTGAAAGTTTATATTTAGAAGGCACTGAAATTTTTCGCGTTTCATGATCATCCGTTAGCAGCTGGTGTCTCCAAGTAAATTCAAAATAAGACGCATGTCACTGGTAGGAAAGTTGGTGATGCAGCTAAGTGTAGTTCAAATAAATACTGAAGTGAAAAAGTTGGCGGAATAGCCTCTGGTTATCTGCAGATAGCTTTTCTTTAATTTATTTCTCAAAAATAAAGAAAGTTAGTTGGAAATAGCGCTTTTTTTCTGAAAAAGAAGTATATGAATAATATGAATTCTATTTCATCGATTAAATTTTGCTACTTTTGACAAGTTCACTAATTTCTGAGCAGTAGCCTGCTGTACTGGTATTTTAGTCTACAGTATGCAAATTTACAAAGTAATATATTCCTATTCTTCAAGTCAGGCAAGTTCATTCTCAATGTGAAAATGGATCTATTCTTTTCTGACTTACATCAACATGGTTTTTGTTGACTAGAAATTATTGCATATCTTATTCAAACGGGTTGTTTTTATCAAAATGTAGAGAAGGTTTTTATCCATTGATAATGGTAATGGGTGTTATTCATGTATTGATCATTATGCAGACTTACTAGTCTCGTACTTGTCCATAACTTTGATAGACTTTCAGAAATAGTAATTATTTTTTTCAACCTCAAAATACAGTTTTCAGTTGGTTTTAAGTCACCCTTGTAGAAGCTTGGAATAAAATCTGCAAGGATATTTTCCACTTTCTACAGCTGTGAATTAAAAATTAATTGACTACATCTAAATTGCCAATACTCTTTCCTTCAGGTATATACAAAATTTGACTTGAGCAATTAGAACCGAAGTTAATTGAGCATAAGAAATCTTAAATGATTTTGAAAGCTTAAATTCAGTTTCAAAATACAGAGTCACCTTTTCAGTGTTACCTTACAGTAGTTTTTACGTATATAATTTGCTTTGATTATTCTATTTTTTCTTCGGAAACTTTCGTGACTTTATGACTGCAGTATAATTTCAATTCCAATAAAAGTAAATGAATGTATTACTTATTTCTCGTCGATATTTCAGTGTTTTGAGAATCATATTTCTTTAACATGACAAGATGTTTATTAAATATTCACTAAGTGTTTTTAGGTGATTAATAAACTTTTGAGAATAGATTTCATTCTTGTCAGATTTATAAGAGAAAGCATCATTAGTTATTCTTCATGTTGATATATCTAGCAAAAAATATCTAGTAATCTTTTAAAAATTTCAAGCTTTTATAAATTTATAATTTACTTTAGTTTCAAAATTTTGAATTTGAAATAACTCAATATTTTGAAATTTGAAATAAATTAAAATTTTTTCTCTCTCAAATAATAAGAATTTTGTACTGTTTTATTAGTTCAATTAATACCAATAATAATTTAGTGCAGTCACTGATATCATTATTGGTCTTTTATTACTATCCATTTTTGTAGCTTGATTAAATAACTTTTGCTGCAGTTTTTAAAATTTGTTGTATTTATTTCTATAATGTTTCTAAAAATAAAAAAAAGAAGTTTCCAAAATAATGGCTTTAGATATCATTATTTAGATACTTATAAAAACCTGCATGATGTGGAATGCTGGTAAAGTTCGAAAAGAAAAAAATGGACCTGTTCTTCCAAGACTTTGGAGAAGTAAACAAGTAAGAAACGTCTGTTAGGTTTTAAGTGTGGAAGCTTTACAAAAAATCTTGAATAACAGGAAACAAGGAAAACATTTTTTCAAGTTTTCGGAGCAGTGAAATAATGGTTAAAGAACTATTACTGATTTCTTGCAGCACGTGCTTTTAAATTTTTAGTCTCCTGGTGCACTGATATCACTCACTTTGGTTCCAATCAATGCATCAGAAAATGAAGCTTCCAGTGATTCTCCTGCACCTTCGGGTACATCTTTCCTTATCACTTTGGGAAAAAAACTAAAAAATTTACAGTGAGTATTATTTCAGGTGCATCAAGCTTCAAATTTAGAATTGGTACAAGTGGAAAAAGTGATGAAATGCAATCAATGCGTAACTGGTTGAGGGAGGGCAAACTGGGTGAAAATACAAATGATTCAAACAGATCTGTAGAAACTATGATTTCTCCGCTGATTACTTATTTGCGTTTGTTTGGTCTTATAAATAAAACAAAGACCACTTGGTTACGAAAACCATTGTTGGTTTACAATGTTTTAGTATTGACTTTTTTGGTAAGTGCTCATGTAAGCAGTTATGAGGATAACTTGAGTTAAATTGACTTCTAGAATATCAAAGGTAATAATGATTAAACTAATCAATTATTATGTGCAACAAGATATAGGCTGAGCAATTTTCATGTAAAAAAGCTTACAAAATAAGAAGTGTCTTTATCAAGATAACTCTGACAATGTTAATTGGAATGATGAAGGTAATTAGTGCTTCAGTAACATCATTTGTGATTCTCAGAAGAAGATTAAAAGTAGGCATTTTTTTTTTAATTTGCTGAATATACTCGTTATCACAAGTGGAAAAAATATGATAATGAGTTACAACTTTCTACATATATATATGGCCTATTTTAAAGAGATTTGGCTATATGTCCACTTTAAGCGCTTTAAAGCTGTGCTTTACAAAACGTGGCAGATTTTTATCGTTGTTTACAACTCAGTAATGGAAACGTTTCTTTCAGTCTTTCAATTAAATAGATATTTTACATAAATCACAAAATTGTGAAAATGTAGCCAAAATATGGTAAAATAAAGAAATGCTTTATATATTCATATTTTCCTAAGAAAGGTTTTCCATTATTCATACTTTTCTAAGAATAGAAGCATGCCAATTCTTGCAGAACTACCACACAATACAAAACTTTTTCTTTCTCTCGAATTACGGATTAACGGTTCGGTTTGCATTCACAATTGTCAATTTACTATTTTTGACAAGGTGACGTAAAATTATTTTTGCAACAAATACAATATTAATTAAAATCAAAATTACAATCAAGCGTTGAGCATGATATTGATTTATACTCTGAAGCTAGTTTGAGATTTCGATTTCACGGCTTAAATTACACATAAACTACATATAAAATTGATATCCGGATATTAATTTAGTATTAATTGTTAAAAAATAGCTGCTTTGCTTTCAACTTATTTGAATTGCCCTTATTCCAAAGCTAAGATTTTTTAGAGACAGAAAGATGAATTTTTTATGTATAATTTTCAAGATTTCTGCTATGATATATCATAGTGAAAAATGCAAATTTTAATCGAATACGCAAACTTACAGTGGTGGATTAAGCGCATGTTTTTTATTCATTATACAAAAGCGATTAGATGAATTGATCGCATTCGTCATCAAACAAATATCAGTGATTGACACCAATTTTTATTATGCTAAACGTGTTCGACATGTGTGCAAAATGATGGTTACTTTTGTATTTCTTGGTTCTTGCATCACTGTACTCTTCAATAGCAGTGAGTATTATACTATTTTATACACTATTTCATTTTAAAAGCTAGCATTAGATGTCAAATAAATTTAAAAAAATCAGCAAAATTTTTTTAATATTTAAAAATAGATAAATTTGAGATCAGTTCTATTTTTCACTTCATTTATAAATCGCTTTTATTTCAGTAGAACAAATCCCAATGTTCGTTTGCTTTTATTACAAAATTAGATATAGTTTTAAAAACTAATTCTTACTTTTAAGTAAAAATAAGATATATGGCGTAAAGCCACAATAAATTTGGATTCCAAAAATAAATTAAGAATCTTAATTCGGAATAGCTGCTGGTTTTAAATGAATATGCACAAAAAAATTTTCCCAATACAACACGATTTCTAATATAATAGCAGTATCAAGAAGAAATTTTGAATTGGTTAATTTATTTTTGTTTATTTCATGCTTTCGTAATTTCTAAACTTGATCTTTGAAACAACCTTATTAGCATGATTATTATCAAGATCAACCATTAAATTTTGACTGTAATTTACTACGAATTCGAGTTATTTTTCGTGACGAAACAAAATAAGTGAGTTTGTATGCCTTATTAAGTGTATTAATTTATGCTAGTGAGAATTAAGATTAAAGATGTAGTGTTTTATGCAAAATAAGAGACTCAATATTTAATAGGAAAATAAAAGAAATCATTATTTAATCGTTTTTAAATATTCATTTTCGAGCCAAAAATGTGATAATTTTTAGTCCTGTATATTGAAATTAGAGACAAACGGTATGCTGGCACTGCATTTCAAGCTTACTATTTGTTAGTCGACTATTACGTGGTATTCATGGCGCAAACAGCATTAATTAGTTCAACGATATTTTACGCGTTGCTAAATTATATACTTGCACAATGCTTGGATAAATTCATTGAGGACATGCGTCGTTCAGGCATTTTGTTGGATGACAAGTAAAATTTTTATGGAAGCAGATATTTTTAAACGTAATATTTGAAATCTGAGTTGAAAATACTAGATGAGACATATCCATAACATTGAACTTTGGATAATTGCTTGTGACAAAATTTTTCTGACTGGTTAAGAAGATTGGCTCTCAGTTTTGCAATTCTCAATTTTTAAAATTAGGTTGTGATAATCCAAATTTTTTTATTCATTTGCTTGAAGTATTTTTTATTTCAATTTTTTTTTGCCAATCCAAAGTTCAATGTTACATCACAATGGCTTTTCTGAATATCATTATCTCAAACGGTAGTTCTGCATATTCCTTGTCTGAAAAAATAATTTAAGTCACCAATTGTTTTGAAATTATATCATAACTTTGCTTGAATACTTATAATTTAGACCTGAAATATTCATGATTATTAAGTTGAACTTTTAGTAAGCAATTATGTATAATAAAGAGAGGAAACTGAATGGAAAATGAGATATTTTGGTGAAGACATAACCTCTGCTGTAACTTTTATTTTTTCAGGACAACATGCGAAAATGCCATTAGCTGCTTGGAATCATTACAGAACCGTTATGAGGTGATTTGCTTGATTAGTCTCTTTTTTCCTTTTTGTTGGTTCCAGCATTGCTTCCCAAGACTAAATAATTTTAGAGTATATAGTTAATACACACTAGATATTCTAAATTTTCCTTACGGTCTCTACTAAAAAAAGTTGCTAAGGAGAAACCTGAAACTTACATTTCGGTGCGTGCAACTTCGAGAACTAACCTTCATGTGACCATATTTTGAATAATGCTAACACATATATACATCTCTTAAATTACTAAAAAAAAACTCTTAGGTAGCAAACATCTTCAAAAATGCTTTAAAAGAACAGTAATTCGACTCCACCAGAGATTGTATTTGCTTCTGACTATAACTATTAATTACTTCATTAATTTAATGTAGTTATTTTAGTAATAATGTGCAATTTGGATTTATCTTCAAAATTATATCTAATTTTGTAATAAAAATATTACAAAATTAGATTATCAATATCACACAAACGTTAATTTTTTTATGCATTATTGATTCGAGCGCTGGATCATATTCTGGCATTCTGGCTGCACTCCCCGCGCTCAATTCTGCTGTGCTGGTCTCCATCAAGATTATGCCACATTACTTCTCATGCACCAGGATGTCGGTCGTTCCACACTCGTACTAATTGCTGTTTTTAACCGCGTATTTGCTCCTACCTCCACCATTCTCTTCGTTTAAATGCCTTTAGACCATACTTATTGCAGAGTTCTAAGTGGATGGATGCATCGTAGTCTCATTGTGTCTTCTGGTATAGTCGTGATCTAACATTTTTTAGCACTGCGTTGCTATATGGTCTTCGGTCTTTACACGTTCTCCACAATGTTGGCACATACTTTTCTCAGCTTCAAACATATTTCTGTCTTGAAGGTTATAGTATCGTACCTCATCTTGTGGGGTAATGCTTCCGTATCATAGCCATTTTGATGAATCAACTATGGACGAGATTTTATTCGTCCGCATCTTGTATAACTTTGCATGGTGAGTTTTCTTTTCTATTGCGCTATACAAGAACGCCTTCTGAGCTGCTAATACGTCTTCAACGGCAGGATTTTCTTCGCGGTTGTACTTAGTCATTAGATAGGGTACAGTAATTGCCAAGTTCGTGTTATGAGCTTTCTCCTGCTTCAGAATCGCTGCCCTCTTGGTAGATATGGGCACGGTACTGATATAGTCTCTCTAAACATTCAGGTTTGGTTATGAATTCTTTACTTATTTAATAACTCTCTGATATCGTCTATAGCTTTCTAGTCTTCCGGCTCCAGTTTGAACACTTCAATGTAATACATTATTAATGGCTGACTTGAGTTATTAAATAAGTAATGACTGACTTGAGTTATTAAATAATAATACATTATTAATGGCTGCTCCAATTTAAGCTGGTCAACTTTTTCCGAGATTATTTTCCCCATCACTCTGTCTGCTGTATCTCACGTCCTTAGGCTTCTTGCATGAGTACAAGTACTTGTGCTTTACGTCTAAATAAACCTTAGACTCACGAAGCGCATTTTCTACGAAGTTGGTGTCAGGTATCTTTGCTGTCTTCTCTAAGAACCACGTCTGCAAGCATGGACGACTTGCAATACTAGTGATCACAGAATTCGCTTGTTCTGTCAAGAAACATCGTCAGCACTTTGCCTGACCTGCTGCTCTGCGGAACCTTGATATCTCGAACGAGTACTTCGAGTGTAATCATCCTGTTGGTCCTTGGTTCCGATAAGCTGGCAGGCTCTCTCACACAGCCTTTTACAACCTTATTTGTTTATTGTGTTTCTATTATGACTCCAAAATGCGGTTTTTCACCGTTCGTCCTCCATTTCCTTGTCGAGCTTTTCAAATCCTAACTGCAGATCAACACAAAATTCTACTTTCGGGTCTCAAAGCAGTAGTATTTTTCTTCCTCTCTATTCATCCCATGTGTGTCTTTTTTCCTTTGTTTCGTCTTCGT